AGGAATGCAAATTCCAAGGCTTAAGAGTACAAACATGCAATCAAGGCAATGATGCAGGCTTTTATGTCAAAATATTACTGAATGTGCAAAATAAGAAACATCAAAGAACTAGTTAAGTAAACAAAGAATTTTCCTGTGGCAATCTGAGCCACTTGCATATCATTTGCCTTTGAGAAACCGAGAATAAATTCAGACAGAAGGAAGGTGGGTTAACTCAGGAAGACCAGCTGGATCTGAACACTGGCAGGAAGGAGAGAGCCACTTAGTGGCTGGCTGGAGGAATGAGTGGCATACTTCTGATTCTTTCAGACTCAGGGCATGAAGGAAAAATCAAATCTGACCATGTGGTTCTGGTTGATAAGGAATGAAATAGCGTTATCATGACAGAGAAGGAAGCTTTAGAATAAACCTTTCCCCTCCTCTTCATTTTCTTTTCTTCTGTTGTTCTGCCCCTCTCAAATTCCATTTTATTTGCTTTTGCTACCTCTCAAATTGTTTTCTTCACAGATTTGTTTCTTTTTCCTAATCCCCTATTTCACAGAATCTACCAAGGCTTATTTCCTTGAGAGTTCACAGGCATTTCAGCTGAGATTCTACTGTTCCGAGTATTTTTGCTGATATGAATTCCTGCAAGTACTTACTATCATACATACTCTTGTTGTGTCACCCATTATTTTTTTTTTATACTCACTACTCTCTTTTCCTCTCCTCTTGTGGAGCTGTGGGAATGAGGTGTGGCCTTTCACAAATTGCAGATACATCCCACGACTGGGTGAAGTTTGGCTACATTTTTTCGTAACAGGATTACACTTGTACTTCAAGTGCAAGTTTTTCTAATGTCCAGTCTACACTGACTTTTAATAATGATCTTTATTTTTTTTTCTTTCTCGAAAATGTTTGCAAAGTCTTTCCAAGGAGGGGGGGGGGAAGAAGGCAAAATTGAATAAACATGTAGCTGAAAGAAGAAATGTTTGCAATATAGAATGTGTCTGATTCTTCCTTCAGTGTGTATCTAGGAAATGCAAGACTTGCAAAAGAAGTTGTTAGGAATAGCCCTAGCCCTTGTAAACTTCTAGAGGAAGCTGATCAAAGTAATGAGCTTCAGTCTGTAACGTCATGAGGGATGAGTCTGTTCCCATCAGCAGGAAAATATTCTGGAAGTCTGGCAGTATTTGCTACTTCTTAATTATTTTTGCATGTTGTATTTTGTGTTGTAATGAATCCTGCAAGATTCCAGTTAAATTTGGAAAGCTAGGGGACAGCTTCTTGCTTAAGTAACTTCTGCTGCTCCTGCCAAAATGTTGATATTTACGTGCCAATTTAGCATGCTTAAGGTACCACTAAGGTTCACTGTTCTCCTTGTTTCACATATCCTGACATGGACCAGCCACTTATGTAATTTATTCCTTTGTTAGCCTATATCCAGCAGGTGAACTAGTAATCCTAGCAAAGGCTATCAAATGTGCCAAAAATTAAACTAGATTTTTCTTCAAGATGTAGTGCAGAAGATACTAAATTACTCTGTGACAT